TAAACCAATAACAGTTTCTCTATAGCTGAAGCCAGGTTCAAGGTTGCATCCCCAGCAACAATTTGAAAGACAAATACTCTGGGCTCCTAAGGGAAGGAACACAGTGAAAATTCAATGACTATATTCGGAATATAACTAAACATTTCAAAAGCAACTTTTTTATTTTTATGGAAGAAGACATATAGTTATTAGAATGTTAGGGATGAAAAAACTAGGATTTTGTTTTTCCTGTAACAATATGTTAGGATGACTTAACAGTTGGAATTGCTAAATCAGAAAAGTAACAAGATGATAGAGTACCTCAGATGTCAGAGGTAGCTTTTGTAAATGTTCATGGCCAACTAGAATTGTGATCATTTGTCAGTTTGGCCATTCCCATCAGAATGGTTCTTCCCACTTCTTCCCTCTGGAACATATTTTCAACTCAATGAAATTTATTGGCAAAAATAATTCTGATCGTACAATACAGGCTCGTACTTTCTTCTCTTTCTTTCATGCATATCAAAAGCATCCTCTTCTCTGGGCAAACGACAGTCCCACTTCTTGCCATCATCTATATTAGTGGTAATCTTTAGTATTTGTCTTAATTATGTCACATTTCATCTGGAGATCAAAACTCTTTCCAAGACATACTCTCATTCATATGCTTTCTCTTCATTTTACGCACAGGGAACTAAGATACAGTGAAGAGATGTGATCTTTTATGTCTGTGTTGCAAAGCCAGGACCCCTGACTTCAGATCCAGTGCCTACTTTCTTCTAATGTATGCATTTCCTGTCTTCTGTGAGCAGATATTTCTGCAACAGAGATGGTCAAATAATTATTTTGTTTTCATCTCCATGAAGTCATACACAAGTATTTTTCTTAAATCTGAAGTTGACTTTGGGCAATTTTGCATTATAGTACACAGGTTTGCACCAGCAGTGTGAAATGAATAATTTTAGAACATTCAAACTCCAGTAAATCTTAACCCAGAGAATATCAAGGAAAACAAGGCATGAATCATCCAAATTAATGCTGATAAACCCAAAGGGTCAAAGTAATTGTCTTTCAAATCAAAGAGAATATATTAGGATGTTTTTGTTAGTAACCTTTAATGGAAGTAGAACAAATTCAGCCAAGTCTACAAATGATAAAGTCATGCAAGTCATACAATACATGTGTCTGGCTTCTTTTACTCCATATTTGTGAGATTCATCCATTAGAATGTAGTTTGATTTATACTTAGGAACTTCAATAAACTCTCTTTTTACTCCTTCCACTTCCCCAACTCATCTTCCTTGCTTGTCAGACCTGGGCTGCTCTTACATCTACAAATGAAGATTCACTGCCCAGAAACCACGCCTCTGAGGGTGACAAAGCATCCAGCTAGGTGGAAAAAAAGATTGATTTGTGTTTAGTAACTAATGCTTCCTCCATGCTGATTTTGTTTCCATCCTTGCAGACAACGGGGATTTCTCTAAGTAGACCCTGGTGCTTTCAGAAGATTAGTGGTTACTTAAATGCTGAGCTAAATCAGCCAAGCAGAGAATCACGACCATATTGTTAGAGGCAGTATTTGATTCTCAACATGCCAAGCCTGCAAGGAATTACCCCAAGAGAGATTACAAAATAAAAATCATTACACTGAGGGAGAGAGACAAATTCTGTCTTGCTGAGTGACCGCAGGTTTCCAAATTAGGGGCTGATGCATTAATGCCTTATGCAAGAGTGACCCTTAAGGTAGTGTGCTGTGTTCTTGCCACCTAGTGGATTCCAATATGACTATTAAGCGGAGGAAGCTTTTCAAAACCACAGGCAATCCACTTAATAAGCTAAGCAAGTACTGCCACATATCGTCATCCCTTTTAAAAAGCCAAATTGTTATTCTTAACAATACCAATCTCACAATTTAGGCATATACACGGAATACTCTTACCTTTCTCTTGGTAAGTCCTTAAAGATCCTTTACCCATGGATTTATATAAGCCTTTCTTCAACCGAGGTGTAGTCCCCTTTGGAGCAATGAATTCTATTTGTTTAGCTACCAGCTGTGTAATGTGTAGTTTATTTTATTTATCTTCAAACTACCTCCTAAAACAAGCCCTAGTAGATTAGACATTCTACTGCTCTGCGTATCTGTTTCATTGTGAGCTCATGACTACAATGGAAAGGATTTGAAAAATATTTCAAAATTTTGTGCGTATTATTCTTTCATCTGGGATTGCTTTTAACAACCAGAATTATTCCTGACAGTCTTACTTATTTTGGTTGTTTCTGTGTCCTGCACAGACACCCCAGTGTAATCTGTGTAAAACCTGCACCCCAAATAAAAAATGCCATGTCAACACTAATTTAATTATTACTTTACATTCTTTTTCTTCCAAGCATCATTTAACATTATTCAGATATCATCCATGTACCTGGTTGAAATAGCCATGTATTTCACAGATAACTCAGTCATTTGATATAAGTGGAAAGTGCATCACAGGAAATGGCTCATTCATAGTCACACAGAAACTCATTGGCCAAGCTGGAAATAACTACCATTTATTGAGCACTAACCATGCCAGATAGCAGACAAATTCTTTGCCACACTATCTTTTTTGGTCTTTGGAACTCCATAAAGTAGATCCTATTATTATCCCTAATTCATGTATGAGAACACTGAGGCTCACTCAGTGAGGTCACTTAGCTATAAGTAATAAAGCCAGGATTCAATCCAGGTCAGAAGTGACTCTAAAGCCACTTCTCTGTCTTTCTAAATCAGTGGTTCTCAATCTTCTGGCCCTTTAAATACAGTTCCTCATGTTGTGACCCAACTATAAAATTATTTTCGTTGCTACTTCATAACTGTAATTTTGCTACTGTTATGAATCGTCATGTAAATATCTGATATGCAGGATGTATTTTCAGGGGTCGCATCAGGCTCAGAGTTGTTTTAGCACTTTCTCCTCTGCTCTTCTCTTTTTCTGGAATTTTCCCCTAGCATCTTGTCATCTCCTCTCCCACCCACAGTTCTGCCC